ATGATTGTTGCTTTTAATAATATTTTTTTATTTTTACTTGTTTATTTTGTTGTTGCTGTATTGACAGAGCCTCTAAACAGGCTGGCATTGAACTTGCTTTATAGCTAAGGCTGACTTTGAATTCCTGATGCTCCTGCTTATACCTCCTAAGTGCTGAGATCCATAGGTGTGAACTAGTGTATAAATTAAGGGTTTCAGCTGATGCAAGGAATAATTGTGGGAAAGGGTTTTCTTGTAGATATGAGGGTGTACAGCTGAGGCTGTACTGGAAGAGCTCAGAGTGGGGAGAGAAAGTAGTAGATTGAACATGGCCAGCAGACTGGACCTAGCTGTGAGAGGAGGGGGCAGGGAGATGAAGAGAGGAAGACATCATAAGAGAGAGATGACCGAGAGAGGGTTCTAGAGCACTGAGAAGCTGCGGAGGAGCCACACATACTTGTTGTAATCCTGAGGAAGCCTGCAGGCTAGCATGCACTTTGCTATGCTAATAGCAAAAAAATTACTCCTTTAATAAAGGTGAATAGTGCCAGAACTTGGGGGAGAGGAGTTTCCTTTGGACCTGACAAGTGGTAGGTTTGCCTTGTTCTTTATTGTTTTAAAATTTGTTTACTTTTATTTTATGAGCATTAGTGTTTTGCCTGCATGTATGTCTGTGTGAGGGTATCAGGTCCCCTGGCACTGGAGTTATAGACAGTTGTGAGCTGCTAAGTGGGTACTGGGAATTGAACCCAGGGCCTGTGGAAGAGCAGCTACTGCTCTTAACCTCTGAGCCATCTCTCCAATTCCCCATTAATTTCCTTTTGAGACATAGTTTTCATGTGTCCCATGCTGACCTCAAACTGGCTATATAGCCAAGGATAACCTTAAACTTCTGATCCTCTGTAATGCTGGACTTACAGGTATGCGTTACCATGCTTTTGGATGTGTGTGTGCAAGCTGGGGCGGGGGTGGGGGGCGGTGTCAAACAGTGCCTCATGCCATACAATCACTCTTGTGAACTACATCCCCAGCTCCTGTTTTTTGTTTTGTTTTGGAGACAACAAGTATGTGGCCCGGGCACTCCTGGAACTCACTCTGTAGTCCAGGCTGGCTTCAAATTCACCATGCTCCTGCATCAGCTTCTGGGTGCTGGAATTACAGGCATGCACCATCATGCCCAGCCCCACCCTGGTAAAATTTTAATCTCCAGATTATCATTTTTTTCCTTCTTCCTAGGGAAATGTTAGGCTGAACCCAAGAAGGGGCTGAGCCCATCGCAAAGACACCAAAGGA